CACACCCCTCACACGGTTCGTGGTCCCATGGGGAGCTCTACCGAAGGCCCCAGTGGCACAGTTCGCATGCGCACTCCCCGCCCACCGCAGACCCATTTCGGCACACCCCTCACACGGTTCGTGGCCCCATGGGGAGTTCTACCGAAGGCCCCAGTGGCACCCCAGTGGCACAGTTCGCATACGTTTTCCCCGCCCACTGCAGGCCCATTTTGGCACACCCCTCACACGGTTCGTAGCCCCATAGGGAGCTCCACGTAAGGCCCCAGTGGCACAGTTCGCATGCGTCCTCCCCGCTCACCGCAGGCCCATTTTGGCACACCCCTCACACGGTTCGTGGCCCCATAGGGAATTCCACCGAAGGTCCCAGTGGCACAGTTCGCATGCGTCCTCCCCGCCCACCGCAGGCCCATTTTGGCACACCCTTCACATGGTCCGTGGCCCCATAGGGAGCTCCACCGAAGGCTCCAGTGGCACAGTTCGCATGCGTCTTCACCGCTCACCGCAGGCCCATTTCGGCACACCTTTCAAATGGTTCGTGGCCCCATAGCGAGCTCCACCGAAGGCCCCGCTGGCACAGTTCGCACGCGCCCTCCCCGCCCACCGCAGGCCCATTTCGGCACACCCCTTACACGGTTCGTGACCCCATAGGGAGCTCCACCGAAGGCCCCAGTGGCACAGTTCGCACGCGTCCTCCCCGCCCACCGCAGGCCCATTTTGGCACACCCCTCACACGGTTCGAGGCCCAATCGGGAGCTCCACCGACGGCCCCAGTGGCACAATTCGCATGCGTCTTCCCCGCCCACCGCATGCCAATTTCAGCGCACCCCTCACACGGTTCGTGGCCCCATGGGGAGTTCTACCGAAGGCCCCAGTGGCGCAGTTCGCATGCGTCCTCCCCGCCCACCGCATGCCCATTTCGGCGCACCCCTCACACGGTTCGTGGCCCCATAGGGAGCGCCACCGAAGGCCCCGCCCCAGTGGCACAGTTCGCATGCGTCCTCCCCGCCCACCGCATGCCAATTTAGGCACACCCCTCACACTGTTCGTGGCCCCATAGGGAGCTCCACCGAAGGCCCCAGTGGCACAGTTCGCATGCGTCCACCCCGCCCACCGCATGCCCATTTAGGCACATCCCTCCCACGTTTCGTCGCCCCATCGGGAGCTCCACCGAAGGCCCCAGTGGCTGCGCCCGCATGCCGCCCCCGCACCCATTCCGGCACACCCTTCACGCGCTTCGTGGCCCCATAGGGAGCTCCACCGAAGGCCCCAGTGGCAGGGTCCGCATGCCGCCCCCGCAGGCCCATTTTGGCACACCCCTCACACGGTTCGTGGCCCCATAGGGAGCGCGGGCGACGATTATATGTACACTGGCGGTATTCACAGCTGCATATGGTTGGGTCCTTCGCCAGGCTAATTTTAACGATTGTGCGCGGCGCTCATGCGAGAGCCACATTTTGAAAACGGGCCGCCCTCCATCTGTGAAAATGTTGCCATGGTGAGGAAGTCTCAGGCGCTACGCCTGGCCGCCCTAAAAACTGGCTTCGGTGTGCGACAGGGAGAAGTTGCTTATAAGGAAAAGGAATTGATGATGATGGTGATGAGGATGACGACGATGATCATGATGATGGTGATGATGATGATGTTGGTGCTGATGCTGATGATGATACTGATGACGGTGATCATGATGATGATGATGATGACGACGGTGATGCTGCTGATGAGAATAATACTAAAGTTAATAATAATAATGAGGATGGTGATGATGGTGATGGTGATGATGGTGATGATGACGATGACGATGGTGATGATGGTGATGATGCTGACGGTGATGATCATGATGATTATGATGATGATGGTGATGATGCTGATGGCAATGATAATGACAATGGCTATGGCGATGGCGATGGCGATGGCGATGGCGATGGCGATGGCGACGATGAGTATGATAGTGATGATGATGTTTATGGTGATGGTGATGGTAGTGATGATGACAATGCTGATGCTGATGCTGATGCTGATGGTGATGCTGATGGTGATGGTGATGGTGATGGTTGTGGTGGTGATGATGATGATGATGATGATGATGATCATGATCATGACGTGCATCGTGGCGCAGTCCCAGGAACCGCCCTACACTGCGTGCGACAGGAGTCAGCACATCACAACATGATACCATACGAGCAAATTGCAGACTTACATGCCCAAACACAGGCTGACTGCAGTTCCTTACCGGGCTCGCACGTCCCTCAAGGACGAACGAGTTTCGGCACGAATCATTGCTTGATCTTTCGTGTCTCCGTGTCCTCTGGGCCGCTCAGGTGCGCGAGCAGACAGCACGCCGGAGTGCGGGACCACGGGTGGCACGGGACTCTGGCCCACTACCATGAACCTCATCACGGTCATGGTCGGCGCTGGCCGGGCAGGGGCGGGCGGGAGCAGGGGAGGAGGCCTTGCTTTTTATCTCGAGCAGTGGCGAAGCGTCTTAGCTTGCCTATAGGCC